CGTTGACACTGAGGCCATTGTTTTCTGGCATTATCCATTTTTATAGCATGATGTTGGCCCGTCAGTGCGAAGATGGCTCAAAGGCACCCGATTGTGAGTTATTTCGGCACTCCTTAAGCGTGCGGGAATTTTGGCAAACCTGAAAAGATTGCCATCACCCTGGGCTGGAGAACTGGACTTGTCCTGAGCACCACCACAAGAAGTGCTTTCTGGGACACCCAGATGTGCACACACAACCCATAGACAGTCCCCAAGCTCACTTGACAGTATTCACAGATCATTCCAACAAGTTGCTCATTGTTTGATTCGGCATAATTACGACAATGCTCTGAGTGGAATTCAAAAACATGACAACAACACGACCACATTTGCACAACATTAACCATTTAGTCCTACACACCGCTTCGTCAAAAACGAAAGCATTTGATGAAAATGCAAACCATGAACACGTCCTGAACAACGAGAAGCAGATTACATTTACGCAGTTGGACATTGTAAACCCTCTAGCCTGGTGCGAAGTGCATTGCAAGTGCGAGAGGCGGTGATGGTCTGCGGGAGGCGGCTCCGGGATACGGCCGCGCGATGGAAAAATGTCCCTGCTCGCCACCGACAGGCGTAGAGATGGCAGGTCACGGGCGTGCGCCGCTGCGGCCCGGGTGACACGCTGGCATGCGGGGGCCGTAGGGTGAACAGGGGCCGGATCGCGACCGGAGCCCGCCAGTCGTTAACGGCTCTGAATGGAGCGAGATCCCGATGGAGGGTGACACGGTCACTAACGCCGCGCCAGGGCGGCACGTGAACAGTTGCCTTCATTGAATCTCGCCGATGAGCATCGGTGACGATGCTGGCCCCGAAGTGTATCACCTCTTGCACTCTGTGTAGGTGACACGCTGCAGCTCCACTCCAGACCGAGAGGTAGCATAGAAGATGAGGGAAAACACGGCACTGGACGAAAGGTTTAGGAACTTCGAGCGTGAGGTGACAAATTTTATGCAAGCAGAAAAGCATGGTATTGCACTTTGTGACAACGTGGGACACGTGCATGCCCCAGGAACATTCATTAGTTGCCACCAGCATCTTTACGTACGGGGAGAGCGGTAAGTTGTCGAGTGCTAAAAAGGAGAAGAGCTGTTTTTGTGGAACGATTTGAAGGGAGTTCCACGAGCATTAGAATTGTATAACTTGGATGACTTCTTCCTGTCGAGATTTCAAAACGGATAGTTGGTATGGATGAGCACAGTTTAGCAGTTTGGTGTCGTTAGCATAGAACACTGGACTATCGCGAGGGGTGTAATATGGAAGGTCGCTCGTGAAAATGTGGAAGAGGATGACACCGACCAGTATGGAAGCGATACTTGGGCTGACGGAAGCGAAGTCCCGGCTAAATTTATCGACCCTTTTACGGGCAGGTCCTCAGTGGCACCCCCACCCCGCTTCACTAGCCGGAAAGCGAAGGTTTTAATGCTTCACCAGAAACCAGCACGGTCGGTGAGCGTGGCATCGCACAAAAAAAAAACACCTCGACCTCGCAAAGTGGCCTTCCACCCGTTCCGAAGGCTTCTGAAAGCCGATAGGTCGGCTTCGGCCGGGGATTCGGCCAACACAACGCATTATCGAAGCATTCGCTACCTGTTTTTGGCTCCTCAGAAGTCCAGTACGGTTATCAGGTACCTCAACTGCCGTCGGCAGACAAGCCCGCTTTGTTAATGGGCCGAGACGAGATGACATGCGCTGTCCAAAGTACACCACGTTACATTTGCCAGACGACATTCCTGGCGGCACAGGGGCTTGGCAGCGAGTCAAGATTGCCGTCGCGCGCTGGTCAGTAGTTTCATAACATTCATGAGCGACGGAACGGTCCCCGAGACGGCCGTTCGCCTACAACGGTCGTGAGGCTGCCAGCTGAAGCGACTGAGAGTGTCTGGGGACGGCAGGCGTCTCGCACGCGAGTAGGCGTCGCCATGGATACGGAGGTGGACGCGGATGAAGTGGCGGCGCGGCAAGAGCGACAGCGGCGGGAGATGGCGGCCATGTTGGACCAGCTGAAGCCGCCGGACGACTGGAAGCTGCTGCCGGCCGACCCTAACTACAAGTACCCGCTGGTGCGCTTCTACCGCTACCGTGGCACCGTGCTCAGCAACTTCCTCCTGCTCTGTGGCTTCCTGGAAAGCTGGGAACGTTTCCAGGCGCGTCCCAAGGACATCATCGTAGCCAGCTTTCCCAAGTCGGGCACCACCTGGCTACAGGAGTTGGTTTGGCGGGTTGTGCACGGCGAGACAGGCGTCAACAGCGGCGGCGGCGCCCCACTCGAGTATCGCTTCCCCCTTCTGGACGCACCCTCTGGGGATGTCATGAGGATGACACCCGTCCACGACATGGAGGATCCGCGCCTCATCAAGACGCACCTGCCTTACGACCTGCTGCCCCCCAGCGTGCACACCAGCGAACGCCAAGGTGCTGTACGTCTCGCGTGACCCCCGCGACGTCTGCGTCTCCTACTACCACTTCTGCCGCATGGTCAACTACGGGGAGTACCGCGGTACCTTCCAACAGTTCCGCGACAGCTTCGTGCGTGGTGAGTTGCTGTACGCGCCTTACCGTGAGCACGTGCAGGGCTACCTGCGTCACGCCGACACCGTGCTGTGCGTGACGTACGAGCAGCTGCACGCTGACCGCGCGGCCGTCGTCCGTCGAGTGGCCGCCTTCCTGGAGCGGCCCGTGACCGACGCCGAGGCCGAGAGTATCGCGCGTCACACCAGCTTCGAAGCCATGAAGGAGAACCCCGGCACCAACTACCGCCACTGGGAGAAGACCGGCATGGTAAACGTGGGCGTGGAGGGCACCTTCATGCGCAAGGGCCAGGTGGGCGACTGGAAGAACTACTTCACTGAGGAGGAGGGCGTCGCTTTCCTGAAGTGGGCGAAGCAGCCGGTCTGAGGCTACTCAGTAGGATGTCCCAGAGTAAACCGTTTGGGAAAATGATGGGTGTTCTTGACTGGGGTTGCTCTTCCGTTCAAGGCGAGTTCAGGAGTGTTTTGTTGACAAAATTGACGCATGCTAAGGCGGCACACAATGAGTTCAAAATTCGATAGTTTTAAGTCATGTTCGGTTTGCCGTGGCCAACAAATCAATATGAACTTGGACATAGGCATCGTGCTTGGTGCTTGCGATTATGCCCTCAGCGTACCTTACCGATTCTGTTTTCTTTAACCATTACATCAAGCTGGTGTCGTCACGCAAGGAGATTACGTTTTTTGTGAGGGGCAGCACTTTTTAACATAGGTTAGCGTATTTTTAACTGTTTCGAGATGGGTGTCGAACAAATCCTCGCAAATATTTTATCTCAATTGCATGAAAATATACGGATATTACCAGACAAGTTACTTTACACGTTTCGTGACAAGGCGTGGGAGGACAATCCAGAGCGTTATCAAGCCTTGCACGTTACCAGACAAGAGTCGGGAGGACAATCCATAGCATAAGCATGCGTTGCCGTTACCAAACAAGAGTTTGGAGGACAATCCATGGCATTAGCACGCATCGCCGTTACCAGACAAGAGTTCGGAGGGACAGTCCATAGCATTAGCACGCCTTGCACGTTACCAGACAAGAGTTGGGAGGACAATCCGTAGCGTTAGCACGCCTTGCACGTTACCAGACAAGGGCTGGGAGGACGATCCACAGCACTAGCACGCGTTGTATGTTACCAAACAAGAGTTGGGAGGACAATCCATAGCGTTAGCACGCGTTGCCGTTACCAGACAAGAGTTGGGGGGACAATCCGTAGCGTTATCACGCCTTGCACGTTACCAGACAAGAGTTGGGAGGACAATCCGTAGCGTTATCACGCCTTGCACGTTACCCAACAGGGGCTGGGAGGACAATCTCAATACCTACCTGCAGGTGAAGGGTTGTGTGTTAAAGCCGGCGTTATCAAGCCAGAACGATCTGGGTACTGTGCAATCTCCTGGCGAAAGCCCGTTGGGTCTCTGCGTAGACAGGTAACGACTGTTACGGATGACACGACGGAACGGTTCCTCACACGACAGGCGTTATTGTGACGACAGATGCACGGACGAAGAGACCAGCGGATGTAGACAACAAAGATGGAAAATGTACGGGAAGGCCGTTGTGTCGTATACAAATGATTGTCAGACATTCAAATAGTCAGACTGGAGATAACAAGCGAACACTAACCAGGGCTTCCGTATATTGTAGACTCAGAGAATAAAAGCCTGTACGCTTCGTAGTAGAGGCATCCAAGATGGGGTGAACAGCAATAAATAAACAGTTGATTTTTTCCAAACGGGAGTGTCTGATATCGAATAATAGTGCGCTGCAATAAGCTGATCATTTCCATCAAAGATCACACATTGCATGCACTTTAGAAGAAAATCACCTTGACTTGAAATGAAAAGGCATTCCTCCACAGGACAAACGAAATTAAATGGACGAAATCCGGGGAGAAATCAGGTCTTGGGGGTAGGTTAGGTCAACATTTTCGGCTGCACCTTCGCCCCCCCCCCCCCCCCCGGATAACAGGGGCACGGTGCACCAAGATAGAAGACGTCTGCCTGCCAGAATGAGGTGGAAATGCGCTGTCAAAGGAATTCCTTCTAAGTTGGGAGAGGGAATCAGCTTGGATTATGACTCTCCTGTCAACGCGCAGTTGGCTGTTGTGTTTGTGTTTTTGTGTTGGGAGTTTGGGGGTCAGCCCCCCTTCTGACCCCCCCCCCCCGTTGTTCCCACGACCCTGGGAAAATGTCTCTTTTTTAAGCTGAGCTTTGCTGCTTCTGTGCGTGTCCAGAGGGCCACCCCTACTGACATTAATAATGTCGCGTGTCGCGGATATTATAGTGCAGCAGCGAGTGACAAGAAGGCCGTGGGTTCAAGCGTAGCCTCATCCAAAACTTTTGTGGTTCTCCGTAGCAATCTACGACTGCCTGAAGTTGCATGTGCCATTAAAGCAAAATAGTTATAGTCATGGCGTATGCCGTCAGGTGTCCTGGCCCGCCTCACGTGGTGGGAGTACTCGTGGGACATCATGGAGCCGGTGACGTATTTCGTCACCTACGGCACCGCGATGGCAGCCTACGCCTACTTCGTGGTCACCAAGCAGGTGGGAAAAGAACACAAGAGTTTGGCGTTTTTCGGCTGACATGTTCTGCATGAGGTACACGGTTTGACCTCTTTAGAATGCAGGAAAGCCACGGAAGTCATGCTAAGCGCATGTATTGCTCGCTGGCAAATATATTTAATCGCCCTCCTACCTTAGTGCTAATTCTGATGGCGCTTTACTTTTGGAAGAAATACTTTGCTACACTTCCATTATGAAATATCTTTGCCTTGTCTATGTTGCACCATCGATTTAGCAGTTTGCTTGTTCGAGACGTGATGTGGTGTGACCTATAGTGTGTGCCAGTATCACTTGGTCCAGTTCCAGCAGTATCCGTGAGATTTCCTTATGTGTGCGCGCTCACCATGTCGATCATTGTTATCATACCTTACTCCTATTTTCTGAAGACACCGAATATGCGGCTTCCATTTGCATCTTCCCCCAGGCGAAATGTACGGCGTGCCCAAGGCCGTCCGACCTCTCACATATCCCGCGGTCCCTCCCGCAGGACTACGTGCTTCCGGACGTGAAGGACCGCTCGTTCCTTCTCTCCTTCTACAAGCGGAGCAGGAAGGGCGGCCTGGACGTGAGGAAATACAACGATCTGAAGGACGCGATGTACGGGCTGGAGCGAGACCTCCGTCGGCTGCGGGACCCGCTGCAGGTCCGTGACCCCTGCACCGTCCTCCCGCAAGGGTCGGGTACCCCTGCACAGGCGGGCTCTGACGATATACAGCGGAGGATTTCAGTGGTTTGACGGTCCGGTGGAACGTGTTTTGTAGGTTCTTACCTATTTTTTGAGAATTTGACTCTATAAAGCATCATGCGTAGCTGGATACTGAAATATTAAAAGCACGTACTTCAAAATCTCTACTGCTGTAAGCATGGTTTCTTCTTCGTTGCTTATTGGCGGTTCGTTTCACCGCACTGTGCTATGGAGAACAAAACAAACAAAAAGAAAAACAAAAACAGACGTCCATACCAATGCATACCTCTAACCCGAGGGAATTGCAAACCATCCCTTGCCTCAAACTTCCTCGCTTTCCCTTGTCCTTTGAGGTGTACCTTCTGCCGTTTCCAGAAGCTCCCACACCTCCGCGAAGGTTGGATCCTGCCCTTCTACCCCGGCTCCTGGCGGCAGGAGCTGCTTCCTCACTCCTTGTCCTTGTCCAGGCCGAGCAGCATGGTAAGAACGCCATATAGTCCTCAGCAGCTGAGTGCGTCGTAAAGCCCCAACGACATGACACACAAGACCGCCCGACGCTCTGTGCGCTTTTCCGCTGTGCGCTTGTGGTGCAGATTTTCGGTTGATGATGAACTGGGCATAGATACAGCGTTTGAGTGGTTTCGTCGCTTGGTTTTCACGGTATCGATGTTCGGCTGATCGAAGTCTATACCGTGGGGCGTTAACCCGCGTTAACAAGCTCACTCACAAAACGGTAGCATGCTCACTCCGCCGCTGGTGAACGAAACACTAGTTACACCGAAAATGAGGCGAGCACAATGCTCCAGCCAAGAAATGAAAGAAGGTTATGTGATTTATCCAAGTGGGTTCCGCAGTGGCGGTTTGCGTTTGTTGGCTTTTTTGTAGTTTGCTGGTGTTTTTCGCTCTTGTAAGTGGTTATTCGTTAAGGTTTGCGTCCCGTGAGATTTTGGTTGCGATCAGTTCTCGGGGTTACACTACGCTATCTCGTTCACGGTGCGGTGTTAAGGCAGGTTCTCTGGCGAAACTGCGGGCACGAGCGTGAAAATTGCAAGTCGTGTCAGTGGATTGGAAGCCCAGGTCGCCCCCGCCGCGGGGCCACCCGGAGTTGTCTTGGCTTTATCTAGCACGCAAAGACGTGTCGTTATTACACCACCGCGACTTTGTCTCTGAGAGACATGCCACAACTCGATGACATGCGGAGCCTAGCGGACGAAGCGCCAGGCTTCGGAGAGGAGGGTCCGTTTTCTTCTCCCGTTTGTACCCTGTTTCCAAAGTGGTCGAAAGGGCGCTGATAATCTCAGAAGGTGTGGCCGGCTAGGGCATCCTCAACTCAGCGATGCCACGGCCTCTGAGCACCTCATCTTGCTCTGATGCTGATTTTGGTTGTGTTTCTCTTTGCAGATGCACTTGCCGCCCGCGCACCTTGAGAAACCGATCAACACGCAGTTTAGCCTCAACTCGCTTCTGTCTATGCTCAAGAACAAGCCGAAGAGCACGTGAGACGTGCTGTCCTGACGTCCTGGGCCTCGGACCGCACCGCCGCTGGTGGGGACTATACACCGTCGCGTCCGGCGAGCCCGTGCCAGAGGCGGGACCAGACGCGCGCCATGCACGCTGGGCGTGTCAGAGGCCGTACACATTGTGCCTGTGTTGAACGCGGGGCTCGCGTCGGGACGGTGCTGCGCCACTGTCAGAGGCGGTACGCGCTAGGCATGGATGGACTTCGCGCCTGTCGGAGGCCGTACGCCTGGCGCATACATACGTAGCGTGCGTGTCAGAGGCGGTACCCGACTGGGGGCGGCGTGGATTTCAGCTCTGGACTCGCGCTCGGCGCCGGAGACTGAGTGGCCATCGTCTGTCACGTGACTGTTCACGTGGGCGACGTGTCGTGTGATTGCGTGTCACGTGGCCTGCGTTTGAGTCACGCGACCGAGCTGGACGGTGTTTTGAGTCGGTTCCAGCGTTCTTCCGGGTTGTGTGCGGGGCGTGATGAGGTCACCTGATGCGGTGCCTGAGGGCTTATGTCAAACCAGTGCGGGCAGGGCAACGGTTTCCGGCGCGCTCTCGTTTCGAATTCAGAATCGGTGCGGGCGGAGCTCTGTTGAACTTTCGTTCGCCGGCTGCGCGGCTTGATAGGCCTGCGGTTTCTGGACAGTTTCATACTCGAGTGGCGTCGATCGTTGAAAACTGTTGTTTCCGGCAACGGTAGCTTCCGATGAATGTCACGTGGACGTCGCGTGAAAATGAGAGAAAGGCGCTTGCAGTTGAACGGTTGACGGTTGAATTGTGACAATACTGCTATGCGGCGACGCGGACCTTGACCTCAGCAGGGTGTTCAGACTACCTCTTGGTGCTGGAGCAGTTTCGTTTCTAACCTAGCGTGGGTCACCTTTCCTAGGAACCAGCTACTGTCGCACAGACACAAACAACACTAGTTTTTTCTCTATAATGTTCGTGTGATCTTCGGTGGAAATGACCAGTTCCTTTTAGCGTTCTGTCATTCCAGATTTGGCACTCCCGTTTAGTGGAAATAGCTAATTTTGTATTTGTTTTTGTTCATCGCGTCTTGGTTGCCTTTCCTGTGGCCCATGCATGCGCTTACTTTCTCAGTTTATGACTTAGGGAAGTTTTGGTAGTGTCAGTCTGGTATCTCCAGTCTGACAGTTGGCAGTCAGTTATATGTTCGACAGACCGTCCTTTTTGTATATCTCTCATTATCCTTGTCTTTTTCCACTGGTCTTCTCGTCCGTGCATCTGCCATCCCCGTGATTTCTGTCATGTGCAGCACTGGGCCGTCATATTTTCCGTGGCAGTCGTTACCTATTCTATGCGGAATCCCAACCGGCCTTCTTCCCAGCCCTTTGCCAGCAGGCAGGTGTTGAATCTATCCTCCAGACCCTGCCTGGTGGCGCGCAAAGCGTGCTAACGTTATGAGTTGTCCTCCCAGCGTTTGTGTGGTAGCCAGCGTTATGCGATTGACTGACCCGTGGTGGCCCATCGTGTATGAAGCTTCCTGCCAAGGACCCGACCTTTGCGAATAGCGCTCTTTCCCGAACAAAGAAGTGAATACCGCACAAAGTTCATCAGCGCTGACAACTCTCCTAGCCCTGCTCCCTTTGCTTCGGTGTGCGTTATCTATTTCACCGTGCTATCCTGCCTGTGGTTCTGGTCTACCGATGGCGATGGTGCCCATCGCCATCGGCGGTGGCGGTTATTGCCATCAATGGGCCATCGCCCATCGCGTGTGCCTGCCTTTCCGATGATTTCACGTGACCAGACCAACAGAACCAGCACCTCTACAGCATTGCCCAGGCTGTCGCCCCGTTTCGGTGGTGGTAACCTGGTGACTTTCTGACCAGCTTTGACGCACCGCGCTGAGAGTCTCGTTGGGGCTCATTGCGGTCCTAGTTAAAAACCTAATTTACGTTTGAATACCAGTCCATGGGTCCTGCTAGCCTAACTTGCCTGTCTAATTTGCGTACTTTGCGTACTTTGCGTACTTTGCCTGCTCCCAGGAGTTTGTTTTATAATGCCCCTAATCCCACGCTTGCAGTCTTGGGACCCGGACGCTTTCGCCCAGCGATAAGCATGCATCCCCGCACTGTTGCGAGCTGTGTAGGACAAACGGAGTAATATCTTACCGGTGCTGAGGCGTCATCCTGCGCATGCGCTGAGCGGCCATCTTGACTCCCACGTTCGCGCGTTCGTTCTGACCTTCGGGCGGTTGAAAGTCGCGACCGTTGACCCGCGTGCAGCGGACGCCGTATGGAGACACCTGGACGGACTGTGACGGTGCATGCTGCACCGTCTGGCAGCGCGCGGGGCGGATGTTCTCAGGCCTTCTCTGCAATGTCCCAAAGCCGCAAGCTTCTGTCATGTTGGCTGATGTTGTGGGGGAGCTGCGTCTGGACCTAGGGGAAATGTTATGCTAAACGGCGTTTACCAAGAGGAGCGTGTGATGTTGACGCCATGCCGACGTGGAACTTGACCTGGGGACTCGTTGTACCGACTTCCGGACAAGCTTCGGGGCTTTGGGGGACAAGTCATACGGACGGGTGGCTCCTCCTTGACGTGACCTTGACCTGGTCTTCACCTTGACCCGGCAAGATGCGACACACTTCCCCAGATGAGAAGGGTTCATCCCAGTGACAGGAAAAGCCGAAGTAGGTGGCCCCTACGACCGACTGTGTGATCAGTTATCGCGAAGCTGGGAGTGGGCGTGCACATTTGGGTTGCCGCGCGGTGATGACCGCGAACGTGAAGCGTGACGATCACCACCGCCGTCGGATCGTGATCGCGGTGAAGAGCTCCGGTGTCGACGTCCAGCACGTGGGCATCCGTTTCTTGTGGTTGTTGGAAGCGTGCTCGGCCGGTGTGTGACGCGCGAGTTGTGTCATTTCGACGGCGCGGGCGGTCGTGGGAAGTTCTTTGTGTGTGCTGGGTCGTGATGTGACGGCGTGGAGGGGCTCTGGGGTTTGGAAACTGCCTGCGACGTGGAGGATGTCCGGTAGAGCTGCCGACGCCCGCCTGAGTCCGCGCCGGCAGTTCTACCTGGACGTCGGTCTTCTCCGCGTCGACTCGGCGAGTTGCTCTTCGTCGCCCCCAGCAGCTTTTTGCCGTGTTGGTGCTCTTCTGACCAGCTCAAAACGAATGGAGGCCTTTTCGCGTTGATATCCGAGTTAGGTGTTGGTGTGTTCAGGGTTAACCCGCCGCTGTTCGTCGTCAGTGTGTTTAATTGGGACTGACTGGCGTGGCTCTGAGCTGTGGACAGTTGCTTTAGCATTGGATGCAGCATGGATGCAGCAATGCTCCGAAGTCATTTGTTATGTTTCAGTATCCGTGTAATACGTCTGTTCTCCCAGCGTCTCGCTGTTTGGTTCTCCTGGGTTTGTAAGTGATGGATCAGCAACCAACTCCTGAATAACCTCTGAGGACGGAACGTTAGATAGCATGCCTTCAATACGCTACCGGTACACTACCGATGGTGTGGTACTGCAGCTGCTAAGGTACCATACCGCTTAGGTGTGCTACACACTAAACTACATTTCTAAGATACAGGTACTGAGGTGCTACGCAACCGGTAGAGCGCCTCACAGTTGTGTTTTCATAATTTGCGCCGGCCGTGCGTTCAGTAGAATTCTAAATGTTGGAAAAACTAAGAGTGTCCGCAACTAAAAGTAGGAACAGGTGTGTGAGTCGATACAACTCCGCGTAACGGTCATCTTAACCGGGTGACGCTGTGCGACTACTCTGCTCGATTCGTCTTGTATCTATAGTTTGTTCGTTTGCGGCCTTAGTTTGTGCTTGTCGACGTTCGTTTTGTGTGGGGCTTGGCGGGGTATCCACGTGCATTCCCTCTCGTGACTAGTGATTGGGACACTTATCAGGTGTTGAGAAGCGTGCCGCCCGTCGTTGTCGAGCTCACGACGCGTGCCGTCTGTCGTTGAGCTCACAACACGTACCGCCTGTCGTTGTTGAGCTTACGACGCGTGCCGCCTGTCGTTGAGCTCACGACGCGTGTCGCCTGTCGTTGTTGAGCTCATGACACGACGTTGCCCTGGTACGACACCTTACCGGATGAGCTTTCCCTCGATCCTTTCCCTTTCCGCGTAGGTTGGCGGTCGAAAGCCTAAATTGTGTGACAATGTCTCTCTGAGGCACAATGAATGCCGTTCGTGATGCACGTTTCGCGTCCGAAATACTTTCTCTTTGCCCGAGGATCGAACCCGGGACCTCCCGCTCCAGACCGTCTTACACACTCCTCCGGCCCCGTTCGGACCCAAATGAAATAAAGGGGAAGAGCTGACTTGGGTTGCGCTTTGCGAACGGGCGAGTGGCTGTAACAGTCCTGGAGTGAGCCGCGGCCGTGGTGTTCGATTGTGCGCCGCTCCTGGCGATTGGTGACCCACGCTGGTGACTTGTGAGTGGTGACGGGCGGTTCTGGTGCTCCGAGTGGTGCGAGATGAGTCTCGGACGCCATCCGGGGACTTGGGAGCCGCCGTTTCCGGTGTTACTACGTTGATCCGCACGGAATACACGATAAACCGACCGTTTCGTAGACCGGTTTTTTCTTGCCGGAAGATGGCGCTGCGCTACGACTATGTCGAAGAATGAACTGGTGCCGGTTTGGGAGGCCTGAATAGGATTCGGCTGAAGCTGGGCTGCCTACCCTGTCGTTCACCTGTTGATCTGGTAGCGTGCTGGACTGCCTGTGCCGCCAGCGACATATCGCAGCTGTTCACTCTGACTCAATTGCAACAGGATCTTCAAGAGGAGGGGGGGGGGGGGGGGGGGGGGCGGAGTTCCGGTAAAAACGCATCACACCCATTGTCAACTCTGTCAGGAACCATCTGTGGTGAAAATAAAAATGCGGGCACAAGGGGTGGGGGAATGGGGGGAGCGGTAGCTTGGCTGCGCCCCTGTCATAACCAAATCTGATGTCCCCTGATCATGACCTCTATTCTCAACGACGACGGGTGGAACTTCTGGACTAGGGGGACGGATGAACCAGCACAGTTTGCGAACTTGACCCCATGGACCCCAAAGCGTAGGTCTGACGGGAGTTGGCGGTGGAATGTCGGCGAGGCGTTGTGGGTCCAATGCACTACGATGGTCTACGCCGCCAGCGAGAGGGGCGGGCTTGGCAACAGGGCTGGCAGCAGCTGATACGAAGGACGGTTTCAAGGTCATCGATCAGGGGCGTGGTCACAGTTGGGAGCATCTTTTGGTGAGGTGCGGATGAAACCGGCGGTTTTCCAACTCCATATGGATCACTTCCTTTTTATCTTTGCTGTATCTCGCCCCGCCCATCCAGCACCGCCATCTACCTGCTCCACCGATTTCTCGTACCTGACGCCGCCCCTGCTGCCTGGCGTCGCGTCCCACGGCTTCGCCGACGACCAGCGGCGGGCCACGTGTGTGTGGCGGCGGTACGGAGGAAGGCATCTGCAGAGACCAAGCCGGAGCCGGGTGCTGACCTGACGATGTCGCGACCCCGCCTTCTCGTGACCCGACCTGACATTCCACCGGAGGCGCTTGCCATGCTTCGGGAGAGGTAGGTCGCGCCCAGCGGCGCACCCAGGCTTTTCCTGAGGTGGGCGGGGGGGGGGGGGCTATGCCTCCCGCTTTCCCTCCCCTCACTTCAGATGGCCCTCAACGGCAAGCGGGCCGGCTTGCGTTCTGTTTTCTGTCAGTCACTGCAACGATGCAAGTTTGAATAAGTTCTGGAGGTGCCAAGGTGGCCTCGGGCTTTTTTCGTTCGCCCGAGGCGTTTGGGATGAATGTGTTCTGGAAGTCCCCTGAGGCAACCGATGCTAAGAAAACCGATACGCGGGTCGTTTCCACGTGTCTCTGAGTCGCCAAATTAGGTAAGGCAGAAAGCGGCAGTGCGAGTGCGTGGCAGGGGAAGAACAGGTAGGGCAAGTGACGGTCAGGGAAAGGAAGATAGGGGAAGTGGCGGTCAGGAAAAGGAAGATAGGGAAGTGCCCGTTAGGGAATGCGCAGATAGGAGAGGTGACAGACGGTGACTGAAGTGACTGACAGGGAAAAACAGATAGGATAAGCGACGGACAGGGAAAGAACATGTAGAAGTGGCAGGCAGAGAAAGAGCATATAGAAGTGACGGACAGGGAAGGAGCTATAGAAGTGGCGGCCAGGGAAAGGACATATGTGAAGTGATGGTGAGAGAAAGAACAGGTAGCAAAAGTGAGGGACAGGGAGAGCTCAAATAGGAGAAGTGACGGCAGAGCCACAGAACCGGCCGGAAGGAGGCCGTCTGCGCTGAGGGGCCCCAGCCCCATTCCTCCCAGCCGGGGTGTCCCACCATCCATGCCGGCAGGCGGCGGCGCCACGATTTGTACGCACGGTACACGCTTAGGGGCGTTGGGGGAGGGGGAGCGTACATTCCACCCAGGCCGCCGAAATTCACTTGACACCGATCATGTCCGGCGTGTCAGCCGCAATGCGACACTGGTTTCGGCACAGCACACCGTAATTTCGAGCGCTAAGAGGTTGGTGAAGGTCGGCACCACTTTCAGCGCATGAAGAGCCAAAGTTCAAGGAATTCCGATCCTGCAAAATTCATTGCAGGGTTAAATTTTCATCAAACTTACCAAGCAAGAGTGTTTTTCGTTAATTCATTCGAAGCACGTAAGCTTGGTCTGAGTTCGGCGCTCGTGCGCGCCAGGTTTGGCGTACCGTTGTGAAGTCGCCCCGTGCTGTGGGCAGATTTTTTTAGCAGGCCGGCATTCTGCAGTCGTCACGATGTCACATTGTCCCACTCGTGAAAACTTGACTTTATCGTGGGATACATGTAAGGAACTGGTATTGAACGTTTGGTTGGCCATTTTGGTCACGGTCATGACAAATGCCTTTTGGTTATTGTATTGTGCGTGTTATGCATGGCATGTTTTGTTCCGTTCGTCGGTGTGTGTGTGTTATAGTTACGAAATAGTTGTTTCTGATTGTGGTGTGTAGGCTTCGGGCGGAGATGCTCCTGCGACGTGTCCTGGCAGCATTGTACGGTTTGTTTCGTCTTTATCGTGCCAGCATTTTCAAAATGAAACACATTTATCCGACGACTCAAAAATAACGGGCAGCCCTCCGGATCACGCAGAGTCCTCCAGCAATTGCATCCATGGCCTCTGCCATGCCGAGCTCTCGAAATTAGCAGCCGTCGAGTCTCGCGGACTTTGGCCGGGTCCGTCTTCCGTGGCTGATCAAGTGCGGATGGTCTCGCTGTGAAAATACACAACTAGCCGCGAGTGCTGGCCCCTATCTGGCCCTGGTCGCGCCGAACGCTATCTCGTATTGCGAGGTCGGCGTACTTGGCCGTCGCCACGGCAACGAGACGCGCAACTCACAGGTAGTGCGCCCGGGAACAGCGCGTGTATTGTCGCTTGTTGTCGCGCATTCAAATTGTTGTCGCGCATTCAACAAAGTTGCTGAACACACGCGCAGGCGGCGCATGTCTGCCGCCCGGTGCTCACTTGCACGACAGTGACCCACACTGTAGCAAGAAACGGCAGTGAGAATGGCCAGAGACGTTCGACCATGGCAGACTACGTTCGCAGCGTGGGGAATCAGTTTTGCTAGTGAATCCATGATGGCTCGCGAGACGGTGAAAGTTACCCACTTCGATAAATTTACCAGTGCACCGCCTAGTGACACGATCTTCGGACGTCCAATGCCACTTGCTTTTGGCACACTGATAGGGTTTTATTTGGCACTAGACTTGTACACTGACGATCTTTTGAGGCACAGGGTCGTATGATGACGTCATTTGATGTCCGTGTTCGTCCGAAGACGTCATTTAAGGTCCATGCTCGTCTGATGACGTCATTTAAAACGTCTGTTCCCCGGCAGGTGTGACGTCACAACCTGGGATCATCCGCGGCCCGTGGACAGGTCGTTCTTCCTGGACCACGTTAAGGGTGTCGACGGCCTCTTTTGCATGGTCACAGAGAAAATCGACAAAGAGCTACTGGATGCAGCGGGTGAGTTCAGCCGCGATCTCACTCAATCTTACTCAATCCCAATCAATCGGTAGGGAACGGGAGGCGAGAAATGTACGGCCAAATATGTCTCCACCGATTGATTCAAATCTGGATTTCTGCGGCGATTTGGCCGATTCGTGTTAGGAGTTCAGGGCGCTGACTTAATCGAGAAGGCTGGGCATGGGGGAGAGGCTGCCATAAGGAACTGATGGTGACACATATCCAAGGTAGTTAATGCGCACCAAAACCACGGATGGAACTGTCAGTTCGTAGGTACTCCGGACGGTGTAGAAGCCCGCAAACTTGCGATACGACACATCTGAAAAATGTGATTTTTTTCATATTGCTACTACCTTTAGCGCACTGCTTTCCACCCGTTAAAGTGTGTGCAGGTGACAAACGCCGCGCACTAGAATGGACTTGTGATTTAGTTTCCTTCGGTCTTATTTGCACGGAGGTCACTTTATCTGTGCCATCGATGTAATAGTTCGTACTATTCGACGTTGAACAACTAATATCTGTCGATGCCTCATGGTCACTAGTCGAGCTAGCTGACTGTAAAGCCTTTGAAGCCGGGGTGTATTTTCCTATTCAGTTTTGATCGTCAGCTTAGCTGGACGTATACTGTATTTAACTAAACACGCACGAATGCGGCAGTACTTTTCGTTTTCCGAAATCGTTTCATCGATTGTGGGAGGGATGCGATAGTCCGTTACTGTGACTTTGTTTTCAGGTCCTTCTCTCAAGGTTATCGGTACGATGTCGGTGGGCCACGACCACATCGACCTGAATGAGGTCAAGGCCAGGGGCATCAAGGTAGGTGGATAACTTCACATTTTCGCCGCCTCTTTTTGGGTGAACGGAAGTGGTGGCCCGTTGTTTGACTTCGCTGAGGTTAAAAAAGAAGCTAGTTTGGTGAAAATAGGGGAACGCACAGATATCTGTTCACTTCAGTTAGGTTTGGAAGTGGACCTATTCCGCACATCGACACGTTTAATTTGTGGCTGCAGTGCGTCGGGACAGCTTTGTTGCTTAGCCAGGACCCAGTGTTGTTCAACATGTGCACAGTGCACAGACGTGACCTTTGTGTCTAATGCATATTACTGGCATCCTTCCCCAGATCATTACATGACCGAGGTGCTCTACTTAAAATTATCGCGATGAATGGCGGCGGGGCGAAGTGAATTATTGTGGCTTCGTTTTTTTAAGGGGAGTGTTTTGCATTTATATGGGATTTGGAACTGAACTAGCCATCTTGAAGACATTTCGGTGCTGTTCACAATCTTGCCTTTCTTGAGACCTAAATCCCTCTAGCTTCTGAGCTACACGCTCGCAAAAATGGGGAAAGGTATGTCGTGGAGAATGTTTCAAAGTCACCTTGACATTCATGACGTCATAATGCAGTCATTCAAATCGTACCATTCCATAAGCCATGCGATGATCAAGGCCAGACCAAGTGTTATTGTTGAAGTGTTTATATATGGCGGTCGTGAGCGCGATTTCCAGATACAACGGCCGCTAATGGACTCTCGATCAATGTTGTGAAAAGCACGAGGACGTAATCAAACCATGACACATTGAGGAGCGCATTGACTAAGCAGGGAATTGTGCCGCCTGGAGCAGTCTTCTCCACCAAAAAACATGCCAATAGTGATAGGTGGTCTTGTCAAGCCATATCTGATGCTTGCTTCAATATCCTCACATTTGAAGCATTTCATCCAACACTGGCCTCAGATCATACTCGTAGGGCACGCCGTTTAATGGCGTTTCAAAATGTTCTTTGTTCTGGTGCCGTTCTCAGCCATGCGGTCACAAGGCGGCTCAGTCATGGCTCTGCATGGCACAATAAGAATCATTTAATACCGTAATGTGACCGAAAGGCCTCAGCAAAAATCTATCAGTCCTTAATCTGCGAAAATGCTGCGCTTGCATGGTTTGATCGCTGCAGCAAGCCACACTGGGAGAGGACTCTGATGCATCATTGCAAGGCCATCGCTGATTAAAAGGTGTAAAATAAGGGACAGTTAATGACGAAATGATATTTAGAATTCTTATTTATGCCGGTTGTTCTTAAGAAGAATATAAGATGTGTTGTTTTGTCTCAGCCCGTTCTCAGGTGGGCTTTGCTCCGAACGTGCCATTTTCAGATGAGCCAAGGCTTTCGTGTGTTCTCGGCACGTTCTCAGGTGGGCTTTACTCTTAATATGCTGTTCTCAGATGAGCCTGACCATCCGTGGGTTCTCGACATGTTCTCAGGTGGGTTTTACTCCAAACGTGTTGACGGACTCCACCGCCGAGCTGGCGGTGGCGCTTCTTCTGATGACCGCCCGGCGTCTGGTGGAGGCCAGAGACCAGATCACTAAGTACGTGACGGCCTGAGCACAGATGGAATGAAAGCCCCCCCCCCCCCGAACACAGTACGAAATTCACTGGCATATCAAGTACGCAGCGGTTTGTACATAGGTGGAGTGAGAACATGTTTTCCTGCCTCCCCGAAAAAGACGGGATGTACTCATGTATCATTCGTTGCGTCCTCATGGAGGTCATCAACCACGAGCGGAGAACCATGGGAGAGAAGTAAAAGCCATATTATAACGTTTCATCAGATCTGCGGGATGATAGCTTCATGTTTGCACATCGTTTTTGTGTAAACAGGATGTTTCAAGCTTTCGAGCATTTACTACGCAAACATTGTGACACATTAGTGTATTGGAAACATAGAACACACATGTTCGAGAAACGTGTGCAATGGAAATGTGCGTTGCAATGCAATTGCAAATATGTAAGCAATCCAAATGTGTAATGCATGCAAAAGGGCAATGAAAATGCTGAACAATGCAAATGACATGTATTACTTTTGAAGTAGTGAGTAGAGAGTCGAATTAAATTTCTCCCACTGGGTCAGCCATCGAAATCCTGACTTATTCAGAAAGATGTGGAGAAATTAGGTATTCTTGATCAAATCTCAAGCGTGTGATGTGACAGTAAGTGAAAGGTACAAGAGCGGTGGGAACCTTTAAAGCTATCCCTTTACATGTAAGCTCTCTGGGCAATGCATGTTCAAGAGGAAGCTTAAGAGGCAATGGTCTTTAATGGCAATGGAAGCTTAAGAGGCAATGGTTTTTAATGGCAATGGAAGCTTAAGAGGCAATGGTCTTTAATGGCAATGGAAGCTTAAGAGGCAATGGTTTTTAATGGCAATGGAAGCTTAAGAGGCAATGGTCTTTAATGGCAATGGAAGCTTAAGAGGCAATGGTCTTCCACCATTCATCCGTAACTTCATGTCTTCCCTGTTCATATTCTGTGTCCCACCGTAAAGCACGCTTATAAACGCTCTTTGACGCATATGCCACGTGGTGGCTGTGCCATGGTTATAAATAGCTATACCAGGTGGCTGTCCAGACAGTTCGTGTTTTTAGTGACACGGGCTGTACCGTGGTTATATATGGTTATACCAGGTGGCTCTCCAGACAGTTCGTGTGTTTAGTGACACAGAATGCATGCCTGCGGAACTAGGTCAAGGCCGAAGCGACTGGAGCTCGAGCTTGCAGCTTACGCTGCGCCCCTCCTGAGCGGCATTGCGGTTAGTCGTAGCCCTGACACCGCGCCAGATAATCGCGGTGCCAGGGCTGTCTGGCTAATCGGGGGCACTTAGGGAACTCGAGGCGGCTGCGGCCGGGGAAGACATCGCCAGGCATGTGATGACGGGTGTTGTGGGATTGCGGGGTTGAGCTTCCGAGGGGACGGGTGGTGCGAGGCTGAGGAACGACCTTCCGACTGCGTTAGAGGTTATGGGATGTTAGAAAGCAGTTGCCAAAGATGATGTGGGCGCTGGTGCACGTCACGAGTGAGTCCGGTGTTGCGCGTCACCAGTGACTCACCCGTGCGTTTCACCAGTGACTCACAGGGTTGCGTGCCACCAGTGCATCCAGGGTTGCGCGTCACCAGTGACTCACCAGTGCACGTCACCAGTGACTCCAGGATTGGAGCACCCGAATCGAATCACCAAATAGCCCCACAGGATTTCTTAAGTCAGTCCCCAGTGCCTTCGTTGGTTAGCAGTGTAACGCCTTAAGCGCCGTAACGATGGCCTCGCCCACCCGCCTTCCCCACGGGCCGCTCCCCAGGAGCCGTTCCCCGCGGGCCGTTCCCTGCGGGCCGTCTGCTCGCGCGCTCAAGCCTGTGTGACGCAGCCGCTTCTGGCTGGCGGCGCGCGGTCGCCCCGCCCCAGGCGCGTGCGTGACATGTCCGTGACCTCTGTTGGCAGCGGCGGCTGGGCGGGCTGCGCCTGGAGCCCCTTGTGGATGTGCGGTCAGGGGCTGGCTGGCAGCACCGCAGGTAACTGGACGGCTGCTGTTATCAAGGCCTTACAACGTTTGGGCCCTGTTGGGCCTTGGGCCTCATTGGGGCTTCACGACGTGGGGGCCATGTCGTTGGGGTCTTACGATGCACTCAGCTGCTAAGGCCTACCGTGGTGTCGCTCCCTCTCAACCCGGTGGAAGGGCGGACACCGCGGGTATTTGAACCCCGTACCTGTACTTTGTCAGACACGGAACCCAACCGCTGGGCTGCCGAACCCCGTGACTGGCTCAGCGGGCGGGCGCGTGTGCCGCACGAGCATGCGACACGAGCGTGCGACACCGTGCGACAATTGTGCCGCTGGGCCGATTTCGCGGAGCACAAGCACAACATACAGGCCTCCAGCTGTCACTGCTTCTTTCTTTACATGCGTAGCATATAGCGTATACATTTTTTCGTGTTATGTGCGCGCAATTTCTTTGTCAGTTACAGACGTGCACCATGTATACGACAGAGGTGTCAGTTTGTTCGGCACCCGCGCGAGACAGTTTTGACCACGTGCTTACTTTTAAGTTCTCCAGGTGACGCTTGCGCGCATGCAGAGGCTATCCTGATTCCTCAAGTCCAGTGAATTAAAGGGCTGATCTGGTGACATGAAGCGAGGTCGTGTCCTCGGGGAGGGGGAATGTCACCGGAACGAAGCGTCTCAAGAAGGGCGTGCCATGCCCGTAAACCCAGCGCCGCCGGGACGCTAGTTGGTGCAGCGTTAATGCCGCGGCTGGGCGATTTCTCTCTTCGAAGATTTCCACGCGGCCGCGGAGTCTTAGGTTGCTGCTGAAATTGCCACAACATACTGACGCAAAATTACCGTTGTAGTCGACGCGTCCCAAAACACCAACAAACAACTACGCCGCAACAACCTAGCTCACATGTATTTCCCCTCTTGTTATCAAACCTGTTTAAAGTACAGATCATCACCACTCTGGTATGTCTTGCGCAGTGCTCATGCGCATTACTGCACGCTCCCGCCGCGTGCATACTATTCCTGCGCATCTCTTCAGCACCGCGATGAGAGGGATAAACGATTTCGTCCCTCCGTGACCTTTGACAGCCTTGACACGTGACCTCCGCGTGCAGGAATCGTCGGTTTGGGCAGAATCGGGCAGGGTGTGGCCGCCCGTCTACGTCCGTTTAATGTCAGCAAGATTCTCTACACGGGACGTACGGAGAAACCGGAAGGTATGGGGGCGTCTTCCGCCGCGTCAAATAATACCGTCACTGTGGTGGTGACCGTTGACATGTTTGTACTTTGATGTGAAGTGAGACTTAGAATTTCTGACCACGAGCACTTCGCTGAGAAGATTCAAATATGTGTGATGGGTTTCAAAGTAGGGTGTTTGACATAAATGCTCGCGCGCACATTATTGTAAGATAAATCTCACGCGCTCGCGCTCGCTCTCGCTCTCGCTCTCACCCTGGCTCTAGCGCTCGCTCTCGCCCTGGCTCTCGTGCTCGCTTTTGCTCTCACTCTCGCTCTCGCTCTCACTCTCGCTCTCGCTCTCACTCTCACTCTCGCTCTCTCGCTCTCTCGCTCTCTCGCTCTCTCGCTCTCTCGCTCTCTCGCTCTCTCGCTCTCTCGCTCTCTCGCTCTCTCGCTCTCTCGCGTCTCTCCTCTCTCGCTCTCCTCGCTCTCTCGCTCTCTCGCATCTCGCGCTCCTCGCTCTCGCGCTCGCTCGCTCTCTCGCTCTCGCGCTCTCTAGCTCTCTCGCTCT